ACAGCAACTGGTACAAATATTTTCAATAGTAAAGGACTTGTTTATAGCATCTCATACAGTAACGCCTGCTAGTGGTAATAAAGAGCATATTGTGATTACTGGAAAACTTCAGATCTGATTTCATTCTTAAATACACCTGGAAATGTTGGATTGACATATGTATTTTGTGTACAGTGCATCGTACTTTGTAAATTTGTATTTGAAGTTTATATATTTGTCATAAGGTATTGGAATGTTGAAATTATACTAGCTGCAAATGTTTTGCCAACAAAGTCCAAATGTTAATTACACTGCTAAATTGCTTATTCATAGTTACATTTGTAATTTTAGTTGAACTTTTAATTTTTTCTTAGTAATGAAAAAAACATTTCTCCTGGGATTTTAATATAAATTCCCCATATTGTGCTGCCAAGGGTGAAAAACACAGCTTTAATGTAGGTTGAAGCCGCCACCTTGAGCTTTGTTTCTATAGCAACTCAATTGCAGCTTACAGATAAAAGACCTATTATGAGTTTCTTGCAGTGGCTTCAAATCAAAGTGAGATTTTTGCAAGGGTTGCAGAGAAATATGTCTTGGTAAAATGTGTTTTTTTTTCTTTTGCCTTCTGACAAATCTTGCACTGTGGCATTTCAATGTGAATAATACTGTTTTAATTATGGTATTTAACTAACAGTGCAGTATTAATTTGTATCCATGTGTCTTCCCACATCAATGCAAAAAACTACTGTCCTCTGTGACATCCAGTCTTCGCCTTTTAGTGAAATTTACAGTTTGGAGCAAGCTGACATCTGTGTCCTCAAAACTGTGCTCGAGCAATTGTTTTTGTACTCTTGTTTCTGAACAATATAAATATATATTTTCTGTACTTCTGTTTTGTGAAATTTAGTTTTGTTTGAGTGCTGTCATCTGATATTTATCAAAAAAGAATGACAAGAATGACATACATGTATTACAAGACTCTGATTCCACCCAGCTGGGATCCTTTCGACCTGCTGGGACGGATAGTGCAGTATGGTCAGGGAGAGCTGCGTCATCCCTCCAGCAGCTGACACTACACGAGGAGAGGTGGCTCTGAGAAGTGGTGGTGTGTTGGAAAGTGTCCTCATCCCACTCATGCCAGTGCAAAGATTGAAGCAGTTAAATGAAGCTGAGTCACCACTGACAGTTCCAACTTGGGGAATAAAGAGAGAAGTAACTTCAACAAAAAAAGGCAAGGATGCATAGACACTAATGGAAGGAACACTACTCCAGTGAGATGGTATTAAAATACCTGGTAGTTTCAACTTCATTCAGATTGATAAAATCCTCAAAGGCACTGACAAAGTCAACCCAGTGGACTTCTTTAGATTAAACAGTTAAACATGAATCAGAAGACTAAGAGAAAGCACATTCAAAAATGACAAGAGCAGACACTTTATACAATTGGGTGTCTGTAAGATATGACTATATGAAATCCTTAGCTAGAAAACAAATGGGCAAGTTGTATGGAATGATCTCTTTTAATTTACAAACTTTGATTTTTGTTTTTGTACTTTGCATTCAGCCTGACCTTAATTGACTGCTTCTCACTTTAGACAGCCATCAGTACAGAGTGCCATAATGTACTAAAACCATTTTTATGAAAGTATAATTTAATAAAAAGGATGTAAAAGTCAGTAAAATGTATGTGGACAATCTGTCAACACTGAAGAAGGAGGCCATGTTTCTCTAGCAATTTGGCAGTCACTGATCACAAGGCAGCCAAAACAAACTACTTTTGAGTGCACCTTCAGTGAAGTTTAAATATCTCCTCTGCTGATCCCTGAACTAGAGGCAGCAATGGGGAACAGTGCTTAAGATTGTAGCTTTGTACCAAGAAGGTTGTGGGTTCAAACACCAGCTAAGGTCTTTTTTTATCTAAATTGTTAGTCATCATCCAAATTGAGTAAAATGCTCTGTATAAATGGGTGAAAATGTAAGTTGCTATAAATGCAACTGTCAAGAAGCCTCACAGAATGTTATTTCTTTTCACTCTTCAGTGTGGAATTTAAAGTCCTTCCACTTTTTCCTTTGCAGTTGCATGCTGAGCAACTCCCTGCTCTTACCTCTCTTTATATATGTGCACGTAAGACTATTAAAACCAAAATGATTATTTTCATTGCTGTCATTGTGGGCAGCACTGTGGCTTTGGTTAGCAGTGCTGCCTTGCAGTGACCGGGGTGCTGGGTTCAATTGTGGACCTGGGACCCTATCTGCATGGAGTTTTTGTATTCTCTTTGCGTTAACATGGGTTTCCTCTGGGTGCTCTGGTTTCCTTCCACAGTCCAAAGACATGCTGGTTTGTTAACTGGCTTTTGGCAAAAAAGGAGCGACTGTGAGAGTGTGCCTGTCTGTGTCTGCCCTGCAATGGACTGGAGTCGTCCATCCAACCAGAGTGTTACGGTCAGGAGTTGCAGCGAAGCGGCTGGTTAGGACCCTATGCGAGGCTGTGGTAGATTAATTCCGGAAAGGTTCCGGAAAGTTCCAAAAATAACCAAATCCTAAAAACGTAAATCGATGCCCTAGTCAGGGGACTGAGCCAGGGTTTCTAGAACCAAAAGACGATTAGGTGTAAAGTTTTCTTTCTCAAAAAGGTAAAGCAAGGGTTGAGCTCGGAAGAGGGAACCTCAATAGTGAGCGGAGGCGTAGTGGAGTGAGAGGGTATAAATAGGGAAGAGTGTTTGGAAAGATAATTGATTAATTAGTGAGCGGGATGTTTATGGTGAGAGGTGCTTGTGAGTATGCGGTGACGTTTAAGTGCTCACGTGCGGTTCATGACAGTAACCTGCCTTGTGCCCGTTGCTTGTTGGGATAAGCTTTGTCTCCTTTATTGGATACAGTGGTTAGAAAATGGATGGATGAATGCTTTATTCAGTGATAATTTCTGTTAATCAAAACTTTTTATATTATTTAATGTGCAAGCTTGGATAAATTCCAAACAAAAGTATTCATCGACACAGTAGTGACATCTACTGTAGGACTTTTAGGTGTGCCTGCCCTATAAGCCTAATTAATCCATTGATCAGCTATAAGGAATGTGGACAACTATATTTTCATGACTTGCTGGTGAAGCCACTGAGCCACCTGATGTAAGAACTTTTGCATAACAAGAAGTTGTGGGTTGTTTAGAAACATAGTTTGAAAGGTATTATGTTTAATTTCTTTTGAGTGCTCTTGTTATTTTGTGTATGTTTTTTACTGAGTTAATAATACTTACTGAGATATCTGCCTCCTCACAATGTACATTAGTAGTGAGCATAACTGTTCAGTTTTAATCTTACCCTAGATTTGAGCAGTACAACCTTGCTCTGCAACCCACAGAACAAAATGTACAAATATGTGTGACTGTTGTTTGTTATTACAGTTTTTGACAAGGTATTTCATGTTGTGAGAAGCAGTATATTTAGGTAGTTTTTTTCCTGGTGCAAATTCTAATCTGTTCTACATTTCAAGTTGAATAATAGCTATAAGAACCAATAGAACACAATAGAACACTCTCCAATCACTAAAAGACTACTGTGTTTATAGAATAGAAACATTTTATACAGGATAGTTTTGTGTACATATTTTATATCACTCCTCCATCAGTAAGCATAAACAAACTCCCAGTTTTCAGAAGAAGACATACTGTAGTCTCATTAGTTCATTTTAAACTTTTGATATATATTTTTAAATTAAATGGCAAAACATATTTCAGTTAAAATTCATTGCTAAAACTGCCTTTAAAGCTATGCAAGAAAAAAGATGAATCCAGTTAATGGATAAAACAAATGTTTACTTCTCACCCCATTCTTTTTCATTTGTTTAATGAGCTGAGTTTAATACATTTTAGCATCTGTAGGTCTGTGGATTACTGTGGTTACAGAAATATACAGTACAGTATATATATATAATATATAAAAAAATAATAATTCTGGATTTGAATACAACTATACAGCCAGTGTGCTCATTTCTAAACTAACCAGTCACCACTTTCTTAATTTGTTGTTTTTATTCTTTTGTTAAGGTTTGAGATTATAGGATGACAGAATTATGTTTGCACTCATCATCATAATAATGACAGTGGTATGTAAAATAACATGCACATGAAAAGGTGAGACTATGACATAAAACAGAATCTGGAAGTACTACAGTATATATATATATTTCCATCCTGATAGAAGAGAGATAGAAATGTGTGTATTCTGTGTATAACATGAAAATGATGATTAAAGACTGTTCTATTATTTCTGTTGGAAAACAATTATCCTCAGGATTATCCTGTATCCCCACAAGGGATACAGTACATAAACGCATTTCAAAGATACACACATACTGTATGTATCATACCACACAAGGTACTGTAAGTCAGAATGTTTGATATATGTGGCAGCCATGGCCCTAAAAATGTTTCAATTGTGTTTTTATGTTGTATAAATGTAAAGAAAATAACCCAGACTGAATCTTGCAATGATAAATTACATGTTAACACAGCCGGAGTTTTTTACTGTAGGCTGTTGTAGTATCTGTGTGCTTAGCCTCCTGTCTGAATCTGTTTTTGGAGGAAGACTTACAGAGCATCTGAACATGTCATACATGTGTGCTGGGTTTTCGTATGGGATTAGAATTTGAAAATATTTTGTGTCCATGAGAACTCTGCTATTCGAATGCAGTTTCTCACAGAGTGCAGTTGATAAATCTTTATTCTGTGTAGCTATGGATCTACCACCCACACATAGAGAATGTTTTTTTATCTCATTAAACGACAAAAGGAGGCTTTAATCAGGTTGTTCCTGAAAATAACTTCTTCTGTTTGAATACACATACTTGTCCATTTCCTTTTTTTCTTGTTAACTATCCAGTTTTTTTAAAAAATGTGTGCATTAAGATGCCTTGCTGTTTGTTCCTGGCTGTGCTTTGTGGACCTGTATGCCGATATCATCTGTAATAAACAATGCCTACCTTCCCTTCTTCTCTCTCTCTTTATCCCTGTACATTTCTAGGGGCGATTTTTGATGAATCTGCCAAAAAGGATGATGAAGTGTTTCGCCTGGCGGTGGCTGACCTCAACCTGAATAATGAAATCTTGGAGACAGAGAAAATCACTATTTCTGTGGAATTTGTGGATGGAAACAACCCTTTCCAGGCTGTGCAGGAAGGTAGGGTGTCAGAGTAGTGTCTTACATTCCCTTTATTGAAAGTTTTTGGTGTGGGAGAGAAACTGAGCCACAGCGAAATGTGACTTGAGACTCATGCTTCTTTTTGCTTGTCTTATTCCGTTTGCTCCTCTTTAGCTTCTCATCTGTTATGGTCTATAATCTGCCAGCACTGTGGTGGGATTGTTTCTGCTGCTGTCTCAGAGTACCTGGGGTTCACAGCTGCCCTTTCTTATTGCTTTCTGTGCAGATGAATGATCACGACTCTGTCCTGGATGCTATTTAAAGAAAACATCGGAGAAGTAGTGTTGATCAGTTAAAAAACCCCATCAAGCAATCAAATCCCTCTTTATTTTGTTCACCATTTTAGAAGAGTTAGTCAAGTACATGAAAGAGCACATACTGTACACCTTACTTTAAAGGCCATAAATATAAAATTTAATTTTAGTGAAGGTAAATCATGAATCTTGTTGGGTTTTTTTTTGCCAATTTAAAGACAAAAGTGATGGTTTTGTCCTCATTCCATTTCTAGCTTTTTGATGTCTTGCAGTTGCACATGAAATAGATTTGTCAGACAGCATGCAGGGGTTATTAGTTTAACTCATGTGAGTGAACTGAGGTGCAGCTTTGGGTGACAGCCTCTTTGGCCTACTCTAACAAATGAATTGAACTTTGACTGCCTCTGTTGAATAAAGAAGGTACCAGTGACCCTACTTTCATTTGAATTGATGGACACTGGTTTAATTGTGTCAGGGTTGCCATCTGATAAGTGTAAATTTACATTGCTAGCAGAAAATTTCCTTACAGTCTGGTCCAGCATCCCCTCATACCTGTTCACAATTGGAATAAAATATTCTCAAATCACATGCAGGTATCACTACATTTTAGACTTCACTTAAAACTGTGTATTAGTACCTTTGAATTGAACATACCTAATACATAAAGTGAGGTTCACAGCAGCCCCTGCTCATTGCTTTCCGTGCCAATAAATGATTGTGACTCTGTCCTGGGTGCTATTTAAAGAAAACATCAGAGTAGAGATTAACTTTTAAATAAAATCATCAAACAATCAAATCCCTAATACAAGGTTTATTAATGAAATGTGGGGGGTACAGTATATAGATGCTCTTTATTAGTTACAAAAAGTAGAATACTGAAGTACAGTATTGTCAGTCACTAAATTATATTGTATGTCATTAATAAATAACATTCTCCTAAACGGAAATGTAGCAGAGATCGGATGTACATTTGAAGAGAGAGAATTTGGTTTGTACTGCACTGTACTTGAAGGTAGTAGATTTTGTCTGTATACAGTAATAGACAAGGGTGGAAAGGCAGTACAAAGGAGAGTGCACCTGGGCAATTACCATTCAGTCATGCATTTTGTTGCACAATGGTATGAATCACCATGCCTGTCTCCTTTTTACAGCTCCAAGCTGTGTATGTTTCTTACCGTAAGCTAACATACTTCGTGGTAATTTAAGTTAAGCATGATGCACATGAAGAAGCATATAGTACTGATGAAGTGCAGCGTATCACAGATTTCAGCCAAGCCATACCACGAAAGCAAACTCTCTCTCTTTCTACCAAATTGATAGTAATAAATGAGTTGAATGTCTATAGCGACCGTTTTTAAAGATTGCAATGCAAGCAAAAGTATTATTTACCCATGAATGTCTCGTCAAAGAGGGTGCTATCAAAAATAACCAAAGTTTTAATAGCAGTGAGCCAATGACAAATCATGACCAGATTTGGTTTAGAAGTTAAAAAATGTAAAAGCACCACAAAGGGTACTAGGGCAGTTCTGATGTTAAACTTTCTTGATTTGATAGCTGTGCATAGTTGCTTGTCCGTGTGAGTGAACATCACTAGAACACTGGATATAAAGCTGAATAAATAGAACCTGAATGTAACTTTGTGTTAGCACAAAGGAGTCATAATATTATTGCTTGTGGAATTTCAGGTTTTCAGATCTCTTTCCAGCAACCTGATGACAGGAGTGTTTTAACTGGATTGGTTATGCTGACTGTTTCCCCTGTGTTTAAAAGCATTCTGATGTGTGCCTTTAATTTTTTTTTTCAAATTCAAAGAATATCATTGGGAAAAAGTGTCAAGCTCATATCTATTGCAGTGCTTGGCTAGGTCCCAGGTACTAATTGATTGTACACGTCTCATGTTCAATCCCTGGTGGATGCAGGATTTTCTACTGTGTACAAACACCCACCATCTGCCCACCGCAGTATATTTTTTGTCCTAAACCTTTTTCAATACATGTCAGAGCTTTCAGTGACTCATCCTTTGTGCGATACCACACCGTGAAGGTTAGCCTGTTGAATGAGTGCAAATTTGTTAGTCTTATTCTTCTCCCTGTTCAAGCTGATGGTGATGCATTCATTGAAAGTGTGGTCCTGTTTTGAGGGCCAAGAAGAATAACTCATTTCCTTGAAGAAGCAGAAATAACTTTTCATATGAATTTTTCATGACAAAATAATGTTCATACAATGTGATCCACAGGTATTACTGGAAAATGGAACTAAGGGGTTATAAGTTATAATGATACGTTTAATACAAGCGAGAACGCACATGAAATTTGTTTGCTTGTTGTAGTGTGGCCTCAGTATTATTTTGAGCGAATTTATTTGCCCTGAAGTAATGTGCATTTCGAAATCAGAATAACAGGACTCTCTAAGCAAGAAAGTCTATTACTGTATCTCTAAAGCTCAAAGCTAAAGCCTTGAAAACCAAAACGGTCTCCAGACTGCTGGTACTGTAGATAATTTGTGTTAGTATACTTTTTGGGGTGTTTTAGGAAATAGGGATTAGCTGATTGTATTATGGAGAGCATAGTTTTTTATTCATATTGTACATGAGTAGATTGCTTCCCATAGGAATATTGCTCACTATCCAAGTTGATTTTTGAGGTGTTGAACTTAGACATCCTGTCCCAGGGGAAAAAAGGTTCTGTATTTATGGATAACAACCACACACGTTTTTCAGCAGTTCAGTTAGGTCCTAATGAATGTGATAGGTAAAATGTGTAGAAGGTGTTTGGTGTGACTCCCCCACAGTAGATGAGGCAATGAATGCAAGGATTATATACAGTATTATAAGTAGGAAAGCGGAAGTGTGCCTTTTTAGGATCTAACCTTCCTCCTGAACTTCTGTTCCCTGAATGACCTATGTGATGCATTTAATAATAAATAATTCTTACACTTTTATATAGCACTTTCCTGGACACTCCACTGAAAGCTCTTTACAGGTAATGGGGACCCCCCTCTATCACCACTAATATACAGCCCCCAGTGCACAGATATGCTCACTACACAGCAGCTTTTTTTTACAGTGACTATGATCAGCACATTTTGCACACACCTATGTATTTATTTATTTTTATTTATTTTGTTGTCTTTTGTTTTATAACTATTCTGATGTCTGTTTTGCTTTGTCTTGGGCTGGACTGCTGTAACACATCAATTTCCCTATGGGATTAATAAAGTATTATCTGTCTATCTGTTTGTGGGGAGGAGAACAGAGTGATGAAGCCAATTCATGGATGGGGATTATTAGAAGGCCATGATTTCAATTAAGAAGACTAATGAGAAGGTTGCATGAGCCAATGTTCAGATGCACCATCAGTCATGCCACAAGGCTGTGTGCCTAGAAGCTGTGCTTATTCTGACCATATCTACTCACCTGTGTAATGCAGCAGCAGAGCTGTTGGTTTTCTTGTTTAAATGTGCACTGTAGACAAAAGAAGCAGCATGTGTTTGATTTTATTTTTGGATGCACATTCAAAGTGCTCTTGAAATGAGCAAGACACATTCAAAATAATTATGTAATCCAGGGATTCAAGGAACAGAGTTTACATCTGTCTTCCCACTGAGGGTATACAGCAGTGTTCTGACTGTGTTTTAATAACTGATTCATTTGGCACTGGAGTTTAGCAATTATGGTTAATTAAACTAAGCAAAGAGTGATGAGCATATATCATTGTATTGTACCCCACAAGCACATGCAAACCAAAAAAAAAAGGAATCTGCAAGGATATATTTCTGAATGTACATTATATCACCGGAATTATGTATTGTTATTTTTTTTCAACAGTAAACAATATCAAATAATTTATGTGAGTATTGTGCCGTAACTAAATAAGATTCCTGCTGGTTTGATGCTTTAATGGAAAAAATTTGTGGTTTACAGTCCTTCTACTTACTGTAGTGTATTTTACCAGCAAAATGAAAAGAGGATGCTCTAAGGGCTGTTATTTGAGTCTTGGGTCTTGGACGTATTGTTTTATTTTGTTTTGTTTGATTAAGCTCTGCAGCACTTTTAGCAAAGATTGAAGTCCTTCCCACTTGATGAATTAAAGAAAACACACCTGTAAGCTTGGATCACCAAGGTTAGTACAAAACATCTAATGCAGGTTGAAAGTCATGTCAGTACACAGCTCAGTAAAGATGTTTCTGCTCATCCTGCTGTTGCACCAAAACAATACCTTTTTACTGAATTAATTTATCTGTAGGTGGTGTCAAGCTATTGGTCTACAGAATAGAAGGCTCATCTTGGCAGAGGTCTGCCTGGCTTGTTTAAGTGCCCACTCATTTGGAGTCTTGTCATAGCCTCATCCAATGCAGTCAAGGCGCGAGGTTAATTCTAACTCCCTGGTTCCTGGCCAAGGCTCCCCGACAGCTGTTGTGGCAACCCTCAAAATGATGTTTTTTTTTTGTAACAGCTTACTTGGACCCACAAATAGAGTTATTTTAAAATGACTGACGAGGAATTGCAATGCGCCACATTTATTGCAAAATAAAAAAGGTCTTTATCCCAGAATGTAACAGTACACGAATGCAATAATCACATCACTTTCCAATTCAGACTCATTGGGCACAAGGCGGGATGCACCCAGATCACAGACTAACGCAATGCAAAAAACGCAACAGGTCAGGTGTTCGATACATGCCAGTTACTCCTCTTGATATCTATCAAACAGAAACCACATGAAA